AAACTTCTTTTTTCCTTCTTTTGGTAACTAATTTCCACCGCACCGTTACGTGGGCGGAGATCTTTATTCAACTTACAAGAGCACATGATGAAAGGAAACCGGAGATAAAATGATTGAGAATTCAGATAAGCAATGAACATACAATTAATTCGCTTTAGAGAGAGACAAACCTAGGGAAAATTCTGAAAAAGCGTTCAAAGTGAGATCATTTTCTCAAGAAAGGATCAAGAATAAATATTATTCCAAATAAGAGCTTGAAGTGGTCAAATCAATCTCAAATAAAAGTATGAGCTTGCCGGTCAGCCAAATGTTCGCCGTTACAATATGTTTTTTGAAAAAATAGCCTCGCTTCATTCAATTTGGGGATATTTTTCAGTTTTTACCCAATTGCAAATTTTGGACAAAATTGCCCTTGTTTGAGTAGGCAGAAAACTGTCCGCTAATGAACATTGGGCCAGCCGACAAACTCATGCCCTTTTTTTAAACTGACTTGGCCACTTCAAACTTTTATTTGGAACAAAATCCACTCTAGGCTTTTTCTTTGAAAAAATGACCCTACTTTAGGCTTAATATATTCAATGTGCTCCATAAAACTTTAAATATTTTCATATAATTTAGGGATTACATTGAATATTTACCAATAGTTTAGAATCACGTTGAACAAATTAAAAGTTCAGACATGACATTGCACACCAGATCAAAGTTAAGAGACCACTTATGCTAACTATCTTTAAAAGGTACTAGAATGATGAAACTATTCATATAAAGAGCTAAAATAGTAATTTTGTATTGTAAGAGCAAAGTTTATCATTTAGTGAATAAATTAAATTAATATTTAAGGAGATGAATCGGGCCAAAACCTGTATTTGCCTGCATGAACTTGAAAAGAGGGAGGGTACAAAATCTAAATAGAAGGAATCGGCTGGTCGATGAGTGAGAAGTACATTTTGGAATGCGATTCCATGACCTTGCAAATAAAGTATGAAACTGATGTTAGTGTACGGCGACGTGTTTCGCCTGCTCAGCGATTACGCAAAGCTTCTAAAGTTCGAGGTAAAGGCGCCTCCGGAAGTGGCCAAGCTATGTTTAGACTCGTGGCGTGCCCGGCCGACGGACTTATGAGGAAATCACGATGCGGCTCCGTGCTCGTTGCCGCGTTCTTTGCGTGACCCTCTTGAGTTGTAAGGCTTTCATTGAGAGAGGAGAGGGTGTCACTAGGCAAGTAGAGATCCGGAGGGATGAATATTGGAAGAATCTTGAGAAGCAACTCCACATTTACTCATCCACTTACGCCTTCAATCTTCTCTCTCTGAGTTCTCACTCTGACCTCCATTGACGACCTCGACCTCAGGAGGAGAGAAAAATTATCAAAAAGCACTTATGTCAATTCAGTTCCAGACCTTTCAGTTTTGTCAATTAAGTTATAAACTTTTTGACAAATTGTCGATATAGTTTTTTCGGCCAATTTTGGCTAAAATTGATGACATGGACGCTGGCCGCCTTACATGGCATGGCCGACGCTGACGTAAATAATTTTTTGCAATTTTTTAAAAAATTTCTGAATATATATTTTTTATTTTTTATTTTTATTTTATTTCTTTTTTCAACCGTGATCGGCGAGGCCACAGTTGGAAAAATAAAAAAGTACATAAAAAATTTCAGAAATTTTTTTAGAATTGTCCATATCAGTATTGGTCATGCCATGTAGGATAGTCGGTGTTCACGTTAGGGGTGTCAAAACCAAACACAATACCCGAACCGAAACACGAACCGACCCGACCCAAACACGAAATTTTCTTATTGGGTCGGGTTGGGTTTCAACTTGTTTGGGAAACAATAAAAAGAATTGGGTATTATTTGGATCTATTGGGCTCGGGTACCCAAGCACAACTCAAACAATAACCCAAACTGTTCCTGATGGTTCTTGATGGCTTCGATAGACAGAAATGGTCAATTGGCCCAACTCTAGTCTGGGCAATTCTTCGATAGATTGAAACCCTAACATCTCTGTCCACTTTTCTCTCTCACACTCTTGCCTCTTCTGCAGTCTCTCCTCCTTCCAGTCCAAGTCCGACGGCAATCGCACCAAGGCCGTCGACATGACCGGCCCCGGCGACGCCGCGGTGCAGGGGAGCGGCCGCAGCGGCGAGGGGAACAGGGGCGGGGCTATGGTGGCAGGTCCTCGTCGGAGAAGGCGGCGTCCGCGGCGTCGGCGCTGGGCTCGTGGTCCCGCCGAGGGGAGACCTCGAGGGAATGCTAGGCGGACATGAGATCCCAGGATCACCGAATATCGAGGGAATGGATCAGGGACTCCTTGGATGGCGGGATCTGTAGAGCTACGGCGGCGGACAACGGCCGCCGCCGCCGCCGCCCCCACGCCGTACTCCTGATCGCACAACACGGCCTGAACCAGGGGCGAGTTCACCATCCTCTCCAACAGATGCCGCATCGTCCACCTCCCCCAACATTTCGCCGCTGCCGACGACGTTGTCCGTCGGGCAACGAGGAGGGAAATACGGGGTCTGCTGCGGCTGCGGCGACTCGCGGGGCACGAGCTGAAGAGCGCTCTTCACCAGCTGTTGTAGGTACACCACCTGCTTGTAGGCCTCCTCCAGCGTGGCGAGTGTGTCCATCTTTCTTTCTCCCTGCGGCATCACCAGCTGCTGCTGCTGGCGGCGGCGGGTGCGGGGGCTGCGATTGGAGCGTTTCGAGGGAGCGGAGGAGGTCGGAGAGGCGGTGGAGGGGGAAGCAGAGGGTCGAGTCGTCGGCGAGCGAGAGGGAGTCAAACGGGGACGAAGCGGGAGCGAAGTCGGGGAAGCAGTGAGGGGGTTCTTGCTTGGGCATCTTGAGAGGGGACGGCGAGTAGCGAAACAAGAGAATTCATTGTTTGAAACACAGCCCGACCCGACTTGACCCGGCCTGATCGTGCGGTGATATCTTGTTCGGGTCTTGTTTCAGGTCGGGTCGAACACACATGGTCAATATTTCGGGTCGGGTCGGGTATCATGAAAACCCGACCCGACCCGTTGACACCTCTAGTTCACGTCATCAATTTTTGGCCGAAATCGGCTGAAAGAACTACATTAGCAAATCATCTAAAGGTTTAGGACTCAATTAGAAAAATTGAAATGTTTAGAACTGAATTTGTTCAAATATAATAAGTTTAGAAGTTTTTTTTTATAGTTTTCCCCTGGTTGCGGGCTGCCACAAGTGACGACTAACGATGAGTAGGCTGGAGATGCTCACTGCACCAGGCAATGGCAACGAGGGGGCTACGGGAGCTCGTTGAATTAGGGTTTGGAATTTAGTTTTTTTTTAAGGTTTAGAAAATTTAGTTTTCTTTGGTAGAATAGAAAATTTGGTTTTTTTTTGTCGAAAGAAAATTTAGTTGATTTGCTGAAGAATTCAGTATTTGATGGGGACGTTTTTTAAGAAGAAAATGACCATTTTATGATGAAAGCAACAATGGTAACTGATGTCAAGTGCAAAGTGGTGTTTTTATAAAGGGTTAATATTATGAAAAATCTCAAATTAGTACACCTATGATAAATTTACTTCAAATTAATTTTCTGACCATCCAAAACCCCAAACACCACACCTGTAATAAATTTACCCTCCATTAGTTTCCGATAAATTTTACTGTCAAATTACTAAGTTAAATGACACATAGCAGTTGACGAATGTACCAGTTTGGGGTTTTACCCTCCGTTTGCCAGAGGTGCACAAATTTATGGTTTTTTTTTGTATTAATCCAATTTAACGAATGGTAAATTTGTCATGGGTGTACCAGTTTGGGATTTTCGGTGGTCAAAAAATTAATTTGTGATGGTGGAATTGCTCAGACAAATCGATAGTTATCTTTTGTTGAAATCTCGGTTATGTCAATTTTCCTCGCAAATCCGAGGGTTTCTCTGCGTTGGGTTATGAATTTCCTATTAGCTTTTTGAAAGGAAAAACTTGAGAAATGTTGATTTACTTCTTGAAATGAAATTTGTGAAGTGTTTTATCGATTCTAACTAAAGATGAATCTTCTTAGTAGAGTGAAAGGTTTGTTGTAAAAAATAAACCAAAAAAAGAACAAAAAAATCCAGGTTATTGGGTAAATCCTGAAACCGGACCGAAAAAACAGGATAAATTTCATATTCGGTTTCAAGATAAATAAGATGGGTTTAGGTTCCAAAAACTAGAAATCGATAATAACATCCTTCGGGATAGGTTCCTCCATCCTACAGAAGTTTCCACTGGAAAAAAGCAACTGGCTAGTGATATGATGCGTGATGAGGCTGCTGCTATCGAATGGTTGGTCGAATGGTGGGTTCGTGTAGCAAGATATTGATTCGATCTTCATGGAACCGATTACTCCTAGTTAGGAGTCGCTGCCTTTGAGCCTCGGCCACCAGCACCACGCCAAAGCCCTCTCTCACGGATCTGTGCATAGCCTCAATAAACTATTTGGCCTCAACAAACTATTTGGCCACGAACGTGGCTGCGGCCGCCGCCACAGCCTCTGAGCGTCGGCCACCGGCACCAAGCCAAGCCCTCTCTCAGGGGTACGTGCATATAAATAGGTAGTCAAGACAGAGATATAAAAGAGACCACCAGTAAAACCTTTTATGACAGTTCTAGGAGCCTGTTATGGATTCTGTCAAGGACCACGTATATACTATGTTTCCTCCTATACTCGATTCTCTAGGATCTACTCTTTTTCTTTTGCCATTGTAGCATTTAGTTCCAATTTCTCGTAGCCTCATCTACCTCGTGACATAAACATACCCATTGAAGAGGCGATCTCTCCTGGGCAAAACCAAACGTATGCACGAGACTTTTAGATCTTTATTCCTCGTGCAATAACTTACACGTACAGCTACTGCATACTCATTATTACGATCCTCTTCTTACTCTTCTAAGTACATAATAACATAATTAAGAGAGGTCTCTCCGAAGGCTTTCGCTGCTGCCTACAAAAACCATTACATGCAATTCATCCTCTACTTTGGCGCTTAAGCTTCAGCCCTCCTCTGAGAGGAAGAACCGCCACACCCACTGGAGGAAAACACCGTGGTCTCCCTCCGGCTGTACTTGAGCCTCTTGGCGTCCTCCCTTGACACCTGGTACGCGTTGGCGATGACCTCGTCCGGCAACGCCCGCATCACCGAGGTCCGGCCCGCGAGCGGGTTGACCATCGCGTTGTCGCTGGTCTTGAAGGACACCCACTCAAACTCCTCGTTCTCAGCCCTCTTCACCACCGCGAAGTTCTGCGGCACCACCACGAGCTGCCCCTCGCGGAGCTCCTCATTGAACACGGTCTGGCCGTCGTCACTCACCACCTGGATGCGTGCTCTGCCGCGGATCGCATAGACCACGCTGTGGCAGTTGAGGTTGTAGTGTGGCACCATAAGTGCATTCTGCATCCCAAGTACACCATTAAAAGTAAACCCAATCAAGATCCCCACTCTATCACTTAATATTCATTTTGAAATAGTATGATAATCGATTATTCTATCTTGATATTCCTATTCATGCAATAGCTTTCAAGAAAGTAAGTCAAATCATAGTGTAGACTCAGATTATCATGATCTAGAAAGTGACACACAAGTGATGAAATCTTACTGAAATGGAAGAAGAGACACCTTACCCTGTGCAGATGGCCTTTCTCAGCACTGAGTTGGAGCCAGTACAGGATGGGCAGCTTCTGGCTGTTGAGTGTGCTAATGTGGCCGGCTCCTTGCGTGTAGATGTCCGCGCGCGACGGGTTGCCGATGTTCTCGCGGAGCCTCATGCTGCAGAGCGTCTCCTCCAACCCGTTCATGTCATACCTGTCGCCGCATCTCTCCCTCCCATACGATCTCCCACTCCCGCGTCCGCCTCTGCCGCCGTACCCCTCCCTCTCCCTCTCGCGCTCCTCCTCCCACCTGTGGCTGCCTCTGCCCGCGCCTCTGCCACCGTAGCTCTCCCTCTCCCCCTCGCGCTCCTCTTCCCACTCACGGCCACCATGTTCCCTTGGGGGCCTCACAACCTGAAGGCGACCCTCGACCCTCACGATGTTGTTCCTGTTGTCGTTCTCGTTCTGCAGCCTCCTTGCTGTTTCCAGATCCACGTTGAACGCCTCAGCCAGGAAGCGTGCGTCAAAGCCGCAGAAGATGTTACTGCATCGACCCCTTTGCTGGCCCTCCTCACCGCGGCCGAAGGGTTGGCTTCGTCGCTGTTCTTGCTCGTCTTGCGGGTCGCCAGCGAGGAAGAATCTCTAAAAGCAGGAGAGAAAAGAGAACTTATCCATTCTCAAACTTATCCTAATCATGCATGCATGCATAAGCCAATCAACTCAATTTTGCAAATTGACTCACTCTTGGGTTGAGATCAAGCTGGTTCTCACTATTGGTAACATCGAGGAGGATGACGGCGATGATGGGCCGATTGCCATCATTGTAGACCCAGTGAGCCACTCCGGTGGGCAACGCAATGGCATCGCCCTGTCCGAAGCGGCGGATCTTCTGGTGCTGATCTTGGAACCGCCGGCCTTCTCCTCCTCTCATCTGTCCTCCCTGTCCGAACTGCCGCCTGAACTGTGATTGCTGAGATGATTGGAACGTCTCAGGGCAACCGGGGATCACAGTCCCCTGAATTCCATCACCTGCATGCGACAATCAAGCAAAAGATAAATGTTTTTTCCTGGACATGTTTCTCCACTTCTTTTAGGGCTGCTAGGAAGTGCAGAGGATGACATGCAAGGCAATGATCATGACTAAACTGGGGCATGTGGTAATTAAGTACTAACAGTTCATGCATTTTTACCTTCAATAATGTAGATGAGTTGAGGTGAATTGGTGAAGGAAGGCAAGAGGAGGCCGTTGGGCTCGATGGTGTGCCGGACCATGGCGATCCCGGCGCACCGGAACATGTCGTGGTTCGGGTCCCACGACTCGACCAAGCCGGCCTCGCACTGGATGCGGTTCGTCGGCTCGAGGGCATCGAGGCGGTCGATCCGGCACTCCCCTTTCTCCCGGAGTGGGTGCCACTGGCCGGTCGGGCTCCGCTGGCTGGCGAGGCAGCCGTGGAAGGCCAAGAGAAAGCAAAATGCAAAGGAGAGATGCAAAGGCTTAGCCATGGCTATAGAGAGGGAAAGAGATGATGGCTTGGGGGGTCGTTCTGGAGTGAAGCGGCGAGTGGGAGGTGGCGGGGTTTATATAGGGGGAGGGAGTGGGATCGAGGGGAGGACACCGGAGGTGGTCGTGCAAGAATTGCTTTGACATTCTTCACTTTGCACGGCACACACGCTCAACACCTCATGGGGTGTGTTGAGGCAGGTGGCTCCATGGCTAAGAAGGAAATGTACAAAGCTTGGGAAGGAGTGCCTGGCCTTCTTTGTCTGGCTTGGCATGAGGGGGTTCGTTTCTGTGAGCTTGAGGGCCCTTCCAGATCCATGATTTTTCCTCTCTAGTTAGAAATTAAAGTTAATATCACGAAAAATCCCTAACTGATATATATATAATAAATTTACTCTAAATTAATGTTTTGACCACCAAAAATCCCAAAGTGTTTTACTTATGACAAATTTACCTTTTGTTAGTTTTCGTTAAATTTTACCGTCAAATTATTGATTTGAAAAACACGTGGCAGTAAATGGGTGTACCAATTTGAAGTTTTACCCTCTGTTTGTTATAGGTACATTAACTTGTGATTTTCCGTGGTATTAATATAATTTAACGGAAACTAATGAAGAGTAAATTTATCACAAATGTACCAGATTGGGGTTTTTGGTGATCAATAAATTAGTTTGAAGTAAATTTATCATAAATGTATCAGTTTGAGATTTTTAGTGATAAAAAATTAATAGATTTTTTTGGTGATATTAACCCTAGAAACTAAGATTGCAATGTTCCCCTGCTTCTTTGAATCGCTTTTCTTTCATTAGAGGTGTCACATTCACTTGATCTCAACAATGGTGGGCCACATCTATTTCAACCTGAACACACTCGTGTCAAGAGTGATCTATGATAGCAATCACAGACATTTTCATTTTATTATCGTTACTATTTTTCTAATAGTGCAATATCCGAAACTCTTTAAGAATCTGGCTCATCCTCATTATGTGTCGTAGTCCCTCCATCTCCTACATGTACTATGTAATTATTGAAAATACACATCCATGCACTTATGGTCAGCTGCAATGGGATAATTATTCAAAAAGTCTTAAATATATTGTCCAATTCAATTATGTCCTAAATTTTTTAATTGTGCCAATTTAATCCTAAACATTTCAATTATGTCAATGTAGTCCTAAACCTTTTAAAAATTTACTAATTTAATCATAAACCTACTATTTGGATATTAGGCCGGAAGAATTACATTGACAAATTGTCAAAAATTTTATGATTAAATTAGTGTAATTGAAAGGTTTAGGACTAAATTGGCCTCTGTACAATAAATTTATGACTTTTTTGAATAATTTTTCCTAGTCGTAAGAGATTGCCAAAAAATAGTGATCCGAGCTTCGACCTCGAGCAACGATACAAACGTGCTTACCACTTTAGTCTTTAGAAACCAGGAGGTCAATCCGCATGTTTTTCCGATTGATTGAACTGTTGTAGACCCATGTGGAATCGTGGATATATTCTCTATGTTTCTTTAAGCTAGCCAGTTGTTAAGGAGGGACCATTGAGCATCATCTCATTATCCAAAAGACCAAAAAAAAAAAACCATTACGCTTTGGAAATTCCTAATTTGAAATTCATAATGATTTAGTATGATTCATCTATTGAATACAGTTGCATCGCCAATTTTAATATTCTATCTTAGTCAATCCAAATCTTCCGGTATTTGGAACCACGGAATGAAGTGGAATACAGAAATGAAATTAAATAAAAAATAATAGGAAAAAACCACAAAAAACCCCAAACTTTACCACTTGTGACACATTTACCCCGAACTTTTTTTTGTGTCACGAAAAATCCCAAACTATGCAACTTGTGACACATTTACCCCAATATACTATAGCCTAGGGCATTTTAGTCTTTTTCCCTTTTTCTATTTTTTTCTGCTTTTTTTTTCTTTTTTCCGGCAGGGGCTGCCCTCACCGGCGAGGTCTCCGGCGACCTCGCCGGCGAGGGCGAGGACCCTCGCCCCGCCCAAGCGAGGTGCCCTCGCCGGCGTTAGGCGAGGGCGACCCTCGCCTCGCCGGCGTCGGGCGAGGACCCTCGCCCGCCCAAGCGAGGCGAAGGCGCCTTCTGCTGGCGGGCGGCGAGGCTGCCCGCCGGCGTCGGGGCGAGGGCCGCCCGCGGCGTCGGGCGACGGCTTCCTCGCCGGCCAAAGCGAGGCGCCCTCGCTTGGGCGGGGCGAGGGTCCTCGCCTCGCTCGGGCGAGCGCGAGGCGCCCTCGCCGGCGTCGGGCGGCCCTCGCTGGCGGGCGAGGGAAGCCCTCGCCCGACGCCGGCGGGAAGCCCTCGCCCGACGCCGGCGGAAGCCCGCGCTCGACAGCCGGCGGCGGCCCACTCCCGCCCGGGCGAGGGCGGCCATCACTCGCTCGGGCGGGGCGAGGGTCCTCGCCGGCGCCGGCGAGGCGAGGGCCGCCTCGCCCGCCCGAGCGAGGGCGCCTTCGCCTCGCCCGGGCGAGGCGAGTCCCTCGCCCTACTCCGGCGAGGGTCCCTCGCCCGACTCGGCGAGGCGAGGGCCGCCTCGCCCAACGCCGGGCGAGGCGGCCCTCGCTCGGGCGGGGCGAGGGTCCTCGCCCTCGCCGGCGACCTCAGCCCCCGCCGGAAAAAAGAAAAAAAACAGAAAAAAAAAATAGAAAAGGGGAAAAAGACTAAATGCCCTAGGTTACAGTATATTGGGGTAAATGTGTCACAAGTTACATAGTTTGGGGTTTTTCTTGGCACCAAAAAAAGTTCGGGGTAAATATGTCACAAATGGTAAAGTTCGGGGTTTTTGGTGGTTTTTTCCCAAAAAATAATAGAGTGAAAATGAAATACGATTGGGTTAATACCATAGAAAACCTCAAACTGGTACACCTATGACAAATTTATCCAAAACTAATTTTTTGATTGCCAAAAATCCCAAACTGGTACACCTGTGAAAAATTTACTCTCCGTTAGTGTCTATTAAAATTTACCGTCAAATTGCTAAGTTGGATGACACATGGTAGTTGACGGGTGCCAGTTTAGGGTTTTACCCCTTTATTTGTTACAGATTTACTAGTTTGTGATTTTTTGTGATATTAATCCAATTTAACGGAGAGTAAATTCATTACAAGTGTACCAGTTTGGGATTTTTGGTGGTCAAAAAATTAGTTTTGAGTAAATTTGTCACAGACGTACCGGTTTGGATTTTTGGTAGTCAAAAAAATAATTTTGGATAAATTTATCGCAAGGTGTATTAGTTTGGAGATTTTCGTGGTACCAACCCAATACAATTTCATGTGGTTTGTTTGTTAAGTTTTAGAAAAGGAATGGAATGAGGTTTCTTCTGTTTGGTGTAACAAAATAACGTAGAATTGGAATGAGACTTATGAAAACTTCGATTTACGTACTCCTGCATTTTTATTAAAAAAATGTAATAAATTTATAGTAATTAAAACTAGTATTCATTTATTTGATTAAAAATTAGATTTCGTAAATTATAATAAACTATTGTGATAAATTTATAATTCCTAAAGTATTAGTTAGCCTTTTTTTTATAATAAATGAATTTTTTAGCATTTGACTTCGTACCATTGAAGAATTTAGACAAAGGATATACCTGCCTACTAATATAATCTAGCAATGAATGGAATATAATGACATAGAGCCATTTGAGGTTCCCTTCGAATGCTATGTTGAGAGGTAAAGGAATAAACCCTTTTGAGAAAAGAACTTTCTGTTCGGAACATGAACGAGGAAAGGACGGGAAACGGATATTCAATTCGAGTTAATCATCATAATTCATAATTAGTATATAATTTTAAATAAATATTTATTTTTCATATTAGTATCTAACTATTATTGTCACGCCCCGAACCCCTACGAGCTCGCGACATCCCCTGCTGGTCGAAATGATGCGACGTCCCAGGAACGTCGCCGACCCAACCCAAACATCAGAGCCACATGCGGAAGCGGATATAAAAACCCCGGACAAAAAGATGACGACAACGGGGTAGAACACCAGAACAATCAAACAACACTACAATCATCTTTAAACAGCCACAGCACCAAATATACAAACATCATATTACAAACATAATTACAGACGAACATTCTCAGCCACCGACATTACAAAAGATCAGGGTTCTGGTTAACTTAACTTCGCTATGGATCAACCCGATTTACACAACCCCTAAAATGCCCTAGGGAAAAACCTAAGGGTCGCCTTCCGATCTACTCCTGATTCTTTGGGCTTGAGCCTCCGAACACTCACCTGCAGTTCCACCGAGCACCAAAAGCGACTCTTCGCACTTCAAAAAGAGGAGGCGGTTCCCTGGGTTTACGGCCGGGGGTCTGAAATCAATAAGTGTACAACCCCAAACCCCACGTAGGCACTCACGTACCGCCAGACGAAAACACGCATAACATACAGCAATCAATCAAACTACCAACCACACACGAACCTACCTGGAATCCATCATACACGTCCCTGCACGTTAGTCAATAACACAACCCACATATCGCAGCAATGATTCACAGACGCGCACGTGCCTCAATTATAAGACAGAAACCATTTGGGCATGTCTCATACCGTGTCTAGCAGTTTCTACCCCATAATTAAGCATCACATCACGCGATACAAACACACTCGCACACTACTCACACCATGCGTAACTTTCTCAAACCTCGCACCTCAAGCCAATTCCCGCTCATTCTCAACTCTTCCACCACTACCGCACCCGCGTAAAACGCATCAGGCCAACGGTCTTCTGACCACGTCAAGCATCGTCACCCTATCGGGCCGGGCATCGTCACCTCGTCAGGGACGGCATCGTCCCGCGTAAACAAACACGCCTCAGGACGGAATCCTACATCTCCCTTTCCTTAATTACCGTGCCCGCGTAAAACGCATCAGGCCAACGGTCTTCTGACCTCGTCAGGCATCGACACCCCGTCGGGCCGGGCATCGTCACCTTGTCAGGGACAGCATCGTCCCGCGTAAACGAACACACCTCAGGACGGACCTTTTCCCAATCAATCCTACACATCAGTACCTTCATTCCACTCATACCACACGTACCACACGGCCACTCAAACACTCTATCACACACAATCTCACACCTCCCATACACATCACAAATACACACGTTCTCACCACACGAACACGCTACTCGATCACACATACTTGGCATGCGCATCCAATGCACAATCACATTACCACGCCTCACGGCCACACACATACAGCATACAATCAAACCACAATCCACCCGAATTGCATTTCCGCACCAGCCAACTATCACAAACAATGCAATTATCAGAATAAACCCAATCAAGCCATAACAATTCCAATCAATCACACAATTAATCCCCGATTAATCCACAGCATCACAGCCCTAACTCAGCCTCCTAAACCTCGGAATTCATCGCCCAAATCAGTCCACAACAACCCAAACACCAGCCCCTAATTCAGACCCAAAACAGCCACAAAATCGTCTAAACCGAACCCTAAACGAGCCTAGCAATACCCGAAGTCCTAGGTAGTTTTTGGGGGAGACACTTACCTAATAAAAACAGGACACTCGGCTGGACAGGGGTCAGGTGACCGGAAAAAGAAGAAGCAGAACAGCAGCAGCGTGCGCCGGCGACCTAGGGGGCGAGCGGCTGAGCTGCCTTGGGCGGGTGGCTGGCAGGCGGTTCTCCGCCGGCTGGAGGCGGCGACGGCGATGTACAGGGCTGGGGAGGGCGGCCAGGGGTGGCTTGGCGGCAACTTGGCCGATCGGAACAGGGAAAGACGGAGAGAGAGGAGAGAGGCGGATGGTGGCCGGAAAGGAGAAGCAGCGGCGCCGGGCGGCTGGGCTGGGCGGCGACCGGCGGCGGCGAGCTGGTGGTCGGCCAGGGGGCTCACGCACAGGGGAGAGGGGAGAGAGAGACCGATCGGGAGGGGAGGGGGTAATAAGAGAGAGAAAACGTGAGAGTGAGAGAGAGAGAGAAAGAGAGAGAAAAAAAAAAAAAGAGATCGGGAGAGAGGAGAGAGAGTGGTCTGGCCAGAATGAGAGAGGAGAGAGAAATGGTCCAAGCTGGTCAAACATGGTGGGCCAAGGGCGCCACGTGTCGCGATCCTACGCGATCTTCCCAAAATACCCTTGATCCAATGGTCCTTGTTGGTCTTATCCAAATAATTGAGGGGCATTTGAGTCTTTAGGTCCAATAATGCAGCTGATAAACACTCTTAATTATCCCAAATATTTTTCCCAAAATTCGGAACTGAAAACGGCCCAGGGGCAAAATGGTCATTTTTCCGGTCCCGGGTCGAAATTCCAATTTTCGCCCGTACCAACCCCAAATGTGTGTGGCCAACGTAATATGGCGTCGGAATCGCGAAAATAGCTTCTTAAGCCCTCGAAAATCGACTGCGAAGTCCTGGGGATTAAAATAATATTATTTTTCGCTTCTAAGCCAAAATTCCAATTTTTTACCGAAACCACTCCAAATATGCGTGGCCACCCCAAAATGGCATCGGCCTCGAAAAATAATCTCATATGGCCTCAGAATCAACGTCGGGGTCCAGAGGGGCAAAATCGTAATTTTTCTGGTCCCGAACCGAAATCCATTTTTTGCAGAAATGGGTGGCCCCAAGGTTGGCCAAGCCAAAAACGTCATCGGCCGCTCAAAATTGTCACTTTCAAAATTCTCGATTCCCGGGCCCGAATTCCAAGAAATGACTAAAATCGAACAATCGCGACTTTAGCTTATCTCTGGCTAACAGGTGGCTCATTGGGATTACGCGCTCTCGACCCGTGACTGACACTAAGTCAAATCACGTTTAAGTTCACTCTACCCGGGACGACCTCGGTTGTCATATAATTGCGAGGGTCTGTCGCTAGTTCCCTTCGGACATGATCAATCAAATAGACCGGTCTCGGTTGGCTCAAAACATTCCCTCATCAATCCATATGGTCGAAGATCGAACTCAAGTCGAGTTCTTTGGTCGTGCGAACTCAATCCCGTAATAGCCCTACCGCTAAGGTTAGCATCCCGTGAATGCGCATTTCCAGGTGAGATCTCACTATAAGTGCATTGGCCAAAATATTCATTTCTTAAATCCCGGAAAAAGGATCAAAAATTCAGACTGTTACAATTATACTAAATTAAAAATATGGTACAATACATTCCAATGATTACTAATTTACTATTAATATTATTAGATACTAATTAATCATATATAGTTTTACAAAATTCATTTGATGGAGCCCAAATGGCTCTCTAGCCTGGGAATGGATCTCGTAGTATAATGCCATGCAGGAAGTTGCTGGAATCAGCATTCCTCTAGGTCACCATTCCATTATTCACATGTTGATCCAATCCAAAACTCATTCGTGTTAACCAAACATGCCATGAGAAAACTCCAGGAAAATGGTCTCTACAGTCATCTGCAAGATAAAAAAATACCGTCATGATACGGTGAGCCACGAAGCACACGTCGGTGCGTGCCTCTTCCTTACGCAATGCCAACTGCAAATGAGCCTTTTCCCGCCAGTTAGGGATGGCTAAGAATGATCATTTCGACATTCCTGAGAAGGAACCCACGTCTGTATAACAATCACTTTCTTCGACTAACAAAACAAGTTCGTATGCCCTGCCTTCCAAGGGTAAAAACCTTTCAAAAAGGAGGTGCGGAAGCATCGGTGACATAATATCACAGAAAGAAGGTAAAGATATGGAGAGGCTGAACAAGACAGTATCATGATCATCCACAAAGCAGCAATTAAGCCCACCAGAGATCTACCCACAAAATGTGTGTACAACCATCCGACACTGTCGGGAACACCCTCTACGTTTTGTGAGAGAGAGAGAGAGCCCTAGTTATTAAATTCAAGTTGAAACTAAACAAGCAATAATGATACCGAGAAAGCAGTCGTAGAAGTGACGAAAGAAAACTAGAGTTGTTCACAGGCAATACAGGGAGAAGTGAGAATTTGCAGTAACCTAGTCATAGCTACAATATACAGTTTCTGTAGAGGATATCTACATTGACAGTGAGAACCTTCAACGATCGGTCAAATCTTTCAGGACTCCCGGTATTTGGTCAAGTCAAATGTCAGAGTTCTTGAGCAGCTGCAACGAGTACAGAGAATACCGACGTTAATACTAATCAAGTAATCAGACTTGAACTGTAAAGGGACAAAAGGAAGACTGAAGTTACAGAAGGGAAGAGAGCCACCTCTTTTCAGAGTCCCTATATACACCGACGAGAGCTTCAGCCTTATCATAAAAGCTGTCTTTCAGAGATATCACTATGCTCTGGAAACCACAACCCGCATCTGCATCCTGATTAAGCCTGGACCCTTCGCATGACTTCGAGCGGATATATCCAGCCACCTTCGCGACATTCAAATTGTCCAGAGCAGCATCAACTTCATCCAATATGAAAAATGGCGAAGGCCGATAACTGAAACAACCCATAGATGCAAAAAACTAGACTACATTAGCAATGGTCAGAATGACGAGAGAATTGCCACGAAATAGCTACATTGTGATCATCCATATTCTCGCTAATAGGCAAAAAAAGCTAAGAACTACACGCGCAAGAAAATGTAAACTGTCACCAGAAAGCAGGAAAAGCCATCTTTTCTGATGGCTCTTCCAGCAGCAGTCCATTCTATGCCGAAAGAAAGAAATCGCTACAAAATTCAGAAAAAAGCATTTATACGGAAGGGAAAGAGGTGAAAAGGACAAAAAAAAACTTGTTAAATCTCAAAAGCTAAGAAATCGGGTCACAAAGCCATTGAATTTTCAATTAAAATAAAGAGGCAAAGAAAAACTATTAGACACAGTATGCTCACCTGTGGATGGAAAATAGTAATGCAAGTGCAGCAACCGTCTTCTCACCACCAGACAGCTGTTCCATGTCCCGGAAGCGCTTCGTTGGAGGCATAGCTGTGTACTTGATGCCATGAAGAAATGGATCATCCTCATTCTCTAAATTCAAATACGCAGTTCCACCGAGAGGATGTGTTGTGCTCTTTGTTAATTGCTTGTAGATCTTATCGATGATGCTCGAGATATGGTTAAATGCTTCCATAAACAATTCATTCCTATTTTTCCCACAAAAAAAGTTCCCGCAAAAAAAGTGTTAACACTGACGACAACACAAGTACCAGCAGAATAGTATGTGTATCGATGCTCTAATGCATCTATAGGGTGCATCGCATCTTTCAACAATGGGTTAGTGCAATCAAAATAGCATAGAAACTGAAACTGTCCATTTAATATTCAGTAAATTTAATTACATGGCAACCAGAGCCTGACAAATGAAAACGCAGCACAGCACAGTCTATGGCAAGCCGTTCTTCACAATCATATCGATCACTCACTTTCTTGAGACTAACCAAACCAAGGCACTCAGAATAAGCACATGTTTACAAATCATTTACCAGCAAACCCTCCATCTAATTAGATACATCTCCCAACTGTGAAGTGTAAATTTCCTTGTTTGGCACCAGCATCCTGCATCTGCAGAAGGTAAATTCTAGAGCAGGGTGCAGAATGCAATTGGGCAAATATCATTGAGGTCATTACTGCCTAGAGTTACTCTCATTCCTTCACTGCACCTACCAATACCATTTGCAAAAATCTTCAATGTCACCGGTCATTCTATATCCGGCCCAAAATCGTTGAAAGGAACGATGTGTCTTGCGCATGCACCTTGTTAAATATGAAATTGCCTGAACTCAGCCGGGTATAAAAATTGGCAAACTAGCAATCACAGGAGACCACAGGTATTCTTCTTCACACTGTAAAAAGGGACATGGCATGAAGGACTGAGGACAACAGACTCACAGACAGCACCTCCATATTCACACAGGATGGATACAGTAACGAAATACTGATTTGAATAAGATTCAAAGTAGTTCCCTGAATAGGAACAGATTACACATCACAAGTCTGATTTTATTCTGCAAAAGATCAATTAGAGCTCATTCAAGTCATTTCCATATTTGGTTTTCACAATCCTGATGGCCATAACCTTTCCTTAATTCCCTCCCCACCAAACCTCCCCCCACCCCCCCAAAACCAAAAAAAAAAACCCCCGGGAAGGAAAAGGGATTATGTAATTTATATATTGTTTGCAACACAGCAGCTTACCTCTTTTGCTTAACTGCGTTATACTTGTCAGCAACCTCCTTTTCTTCTTTCCTAGCTGCTTCAAACTCCTCAGTAGCAACTCTTTCCTTTTCTTTTAGAGCTTCATATTGATCAAGAGCCCTCAAATTTGGGGCAGTCCTCTCAATTTCTGATACCAAACCATCAATTTTTTGCTTGAACTCTGTCTCATGCTTTTCTCGATCAGAAGGTCGCTTATCCTGCAGTAACGATCTATTTAGTTGGCTAAAATCAAAGACAGGACCTTCTGTCAAGGATTCAGTCTCCATTGGGTCAGCGATAGTTGGAAGGCCTATATGTTCCAGTTCACAATTCTCCAGAATTTCTTGTTTTCGGGATATCAGCTGCTCAATTTGTGACTCCTACATGAACAAAATAGAAATTGTGATTATATAAAATGCCCCGTTGGTTTCAATTTTTATTATGCACCTTAAACAAATCCATATCTAGGAATGACCTTAGAATTTATCTGACGATTAAGTTTGGATAAGTTGGTCGTAGCATTAGAAGCCCGCTTCTTCCACTCTTGCATATCCTTTTCACACTCATCAGACTTCAACTTCCACTCTGCGAGAGGTGTGAACCAGTCAATGACATTTCTGATGATATATCCAATTAGAAATGTACACAGAAAAAGATGGATGCATTGATAGTTGGGTAACCATCATGAGTACAAAATGTGCTATTCTAAGTGATGCGCAGACGAAATCAAATAAAAAAGTCACCCGTCCTTCATTGTTAGAGAAAGTAGTGCAGGTGGTAATTAACTGTTAGAAAGTCCAGCCAAAAGCTTAAATTGATAGGTGGAGAGAGACCACATAAATATAAAGAACATTTAGGACTCGTTGTCAAGCGATGTGGGACAATATTTCAACACCCCCTCTCACGTGCAAGCCAAATTACGAGCTGCACATGGAATTTTTTACTACAACATGGAACTTTTTACCACACACATTCGTGAAAGGGATAGCACTGGCTCTGATACCAATCCAAAAGCTTATACTGATAGGTGGAGAGAGACCAAATGAATATAAAAAACATTTAGGACCAGTTGTCAAGCGATGTGGGACAATACTTCAACATTAATACTATCGGCATAGCCCAATTAATGCACTCTATTGATTACGTAATCACAATATTTTGGCTTAATCATCAAGATACCAATACGATCATTGCATAGATAGGCACATGATCTCGAACATTATCAAACTGCAAGCACAAAGAGAGAAACGCCCATTGCATCTTCAGTGGAAGGATAAATTGCATTCAGGAGAAGGATCTCGTCTACTCCAGCACTAATGTACTCTATATAGTCAGAAACAAAGCCATACCCTGAACTTCTTCCTTCAACCGGTTGATCTCACTGGTAGTTTTCTCTACTGCTACCTTGGCTTCAGACTCCTTCTTTTGAACATTCTTCAAATTATTTTCCAAAGAATTGAGTGAAGATTCCAGTTCTTTAATACGTGAATCCATGTCCCGCTTTTTCTCGTACTCCAACCTTGTCAATGATAGTGATACACAATTTTGAAACTTTGACTTCAGCACATAGTAGTTCTCACTAAGCAAATGCACATATAAAGTATGAAAATAAAAACATGTGCTCATCCTTGTCGTACCAGTAGTGGCATTGTCAACAAAACAGATACAATCTCACTCCGTATTGTATGATTCAACTCGATGCAGTCTTTAAATAGACAAATATCAACATTCATAAATTAGCTTATTTCAAATGTCAAAAGGAATCACAAGCAAATATACCCATAAGTAACTAAACCTACAAACTGACACTAATTAGCTGTTTCGAATATTCACAATCTAAGGAGCAATGCAATCAAGTTTCATATGAGAACTCTTTGCTAATTACTCTAATTCAGAAGTATCCTTCTATCACTCCCAATTTAATAAGGTTCACTAGCTAAAATCCTCAGCAAAACTATCCTATACCATCTTTCTGCACTTCAGCACAAATTAATTGGAGGAAGAGAAACATACTGGTATTTCAACTTTGCCAGCTGGTCGCTTACGCTAAACCTTTCTTCAGCCATTTCTTGGGCAGCTTTTAGCTGGTTTTCTTCGTACTCACGGAAGTTTTTCACCCCAAAAGACGCACTGAAATCTTTGTAAATTCTATCAACAATCTCATTTATCCTCTTCTCAAGCTTCCTGATTTCGGCACTCCTTTTATCAATTGAATCTTTCAACTGAGAAAGCACATAATAAATTCCCACTCAGATACATGCAGAAAATTAACATTCTCTTACTTGAGAAGCTAGAACATAATTTTCGGCTTAATAACTGGAGTTACTAATCACCTTCTTGAGTTCAGGACTTATACAATCAATTTCTCTTCGTATGTTTTGCTTCTCTTGTTTCAAATTGGCAAGCTTGTCCTTGATACTTTGCTGCATTAAGCCGTTAAAATTGTCAATTATCAACACGAGCATTACAAGTACAAGGTTCCACAATATCAACACAAGCATTACAAGTACAACGATAACCACCTCTTTAGCAAATTATCATTGCCAAAAAGAACTAACCAGAAATCTGGAAACCTTAAATCCAACAAATATCAACTAAGGAATCTCAGTAATGAAAAGAGAGGTCTTACACAAGGACAGCTCAGGTCAGGACAAAGATAATTTCAAAGCCAACAAACTTTCAGGGTGGCCATAGCTTCAAAATGAGTAGCCAGTCTACCCTAAGGAGTAAACTAGCATTGACATGCAGAGGTGCAAGTGCAACTGAAGCATACAGACATTTGAGATATTGTACTGCTGACGTTTTCCTTAATTATTATTCTTTGCATCATAAGTACTCAGCTGGGTCTCCGTACGAAAGATTTTAAATTGCGGTAAGCGGTCACATTGCAATAATCGCAGAATGAGCATTCAGCAGCCTCCAAATAGTGGATAGCAGTCACAGCAGGCATGAACTTTTTAATAATAATCACACAACAAATGGCACAATCATATTTAGTAACTTGAATGCAACTTTAGCAGTGATTTCAAAAGATATTAGAGTATCATTCCAAGCATCAAGAGTGCAAAAACATTTTCACCTGTAGTAACTTGATCAGAAGGCTTTATGCAAACTGAAACTTTTTATCATAAAACATATGGTTCCATATGTATACGAATTGGGCTAAAGGATTTGAGCCACTACACTAATGACAATAAAAGTTTTGACCTCTCTCCCATACAGAGAAGAGACACAGAAAAGAAACAAAAGGTGAATTCAGCTGTGTCCAAACATGCTCAGACGTCAGTTAGCTTAACAAGCCTTTCCATATAGCTTGAATGGCGTATCATACAACAATCGAGTTTCATGTGGGCCCCTTTTGTAACAGACGCCACATATTAAAATGCTTATTAGTATTTGAAAGGGGGAGGTGTTGGATGGACAGTGTCGATATCGTCTGCGACATGGGTTGTCAGTGCAATAGTGCCAATGGTGACTGCCATGGGTGTGAATTTCTCACTCCTATGGCGAAAGAGGCGGTGGTGCCAATATTGACTGCCATTAAAAACCAGCAGTATCCTTTTTACAAGCAATGAGAGGGCTGAGTAACATACTGTTGGACTAGGTAGATGTGACATGGCAAGTTCCAGATGTTGTGGCCAAGCAGGGCAGGTATCAAGAGAGAGACAAGAGGCAGTAGAAAACGTGGGTAGAGACAAAAGAAGTAATTTCCAACGAACAAAGCTATGAAAGGTTTACTACTACATACTGCACAATGGCATGAAAAACATTCATGTGGCAAAACTCTTAATCCATAAGGCTTAAATTGTCAATGTCATTATCCCTCCTTTGTCAGTAACTCATAGACTCGATAACCTTTACCTTTTCGATATCAGCATACTGCATCTTCTTCTCAAGTCCACTAATTTTCCCAGATAATTCAGACTCTTTCAAGCGCATCTCTCTTAAAGAACCGAGTTCTTCAAGCTCTGACTCATATTGTTCCTTCAATTTTTTAAGTCCTAAGAAAGAGTTCACAAATAAATTTATAGAAGAGGCAGGACAAAATTAGTAAACCAAAGATAAGTCCTAATCATCCTGTTCATATGCCAAAGAACCTAAAAACAATGTTTATAGATCTAACCTTCAATTTCCGCATCATCCCATTTTTTAGATCTTGCTTCCATCCCACCACTGGTACCACCCGTCATTGTTCCGGACTTTGTGAGCAGGATACCATCAGTAGTGACAACTAACAAATAACCACATGATGTATTTAGCATAAGAAAGTTTGAGTTCACAAACTATCGGTAGGAAATAACAAAAATATGCACCTTTGAACCTCTCTCCGCTCCAGCTTAGAACTTTAGCTTCATCAAGATTGTCGCAAACTAGAGTATTACCAACGGCATAGAGAACCGCCTTCTCCAATGCAGGATCAAATGTGCTCTTTGTTAAGTACCCAAAAGTATACACAGAAGCCACTCAACATACAAATTGCTTTGGATGTCTAACATAAGGATAGAGTGGTAAATAGTCTAAACTTTGAGTGCACAATGTCATCTATTTGCACATGTATGCACGCGCGTGCATGAGAGAGAGAGAGAGAGAGAGAGAGAGAGAGAGAGAGAGAGAGAGAGAGAGAGAGAGAGTTACATAATAAGCATGAACAGCAACCATAGTACACAAAAAGAAAATATGCTTTCACAAAAAAGCTAAAATGTTAAAGAGTATTTAATTGGTGTGCAATATCGTTCTCAAGCACTTGATGAACAAGATGGCCACCTTCTCACCAAAAACCTACCCAACATTAAATGAGGGAAAAAGCTAACAAGCAACAGAAATACGCCAAGAGCATTAAAAATGTATTAAACACTCAAGCAACTATGGTGAAAACCAGTAACACCAACCACATAAACGATACGCTTCACATAGAAAGCTAAAAGCACAGACTGCACTGCCATGCAAGCTATTCATCAAGCCTGAATACATAATATTTTACAACATCAACTAAGACATTAAGCAGAAGTTTCTGTTTTGGCTTTTCATTAAACTTAGTGGACTGAGGTGCAAAATGCATCAAACTGAATCATTATGTAGTTAAATGCCCCTAGTTTCCCACATTGCATCATGTCTACCAGTTGAAGTTGACATAAGCATTATAAGGTAAAGCTACACCTTGAAAGAGCAATAAGCATAATTGATGTTAAGGGACAATGCTATTAAGGGGAAGTGAAATTTTTTTCCATGGTCCGAAGGAGGAAACTGCAATTAAGCCCACAAATTATCAAAATAAGTACTTGTCATTAAGCTACTAGTTTCTGACCCAAAAAAAAAAAGCTACTATTCATTATATATATATATATATATATATATATATATATATATATATAAAAAGCATCACGTGATAACAGCACTAATGAAAAGTGGACTAAGACATTCCACCCTTTCCCATGCAGCATTAGAAAGAATCACATGTTTAATATGCAATTTTAAATATCTATTTTGAGCGAAGACATTTTACATGTAAGGTAAATTAATTTGCTATTTCTGACAAAGGATATTGAATCACATCAAAGACAAGCTTTGAAGTCCCACCCAAGGTGCGGAGCCTCTCGATAATTGGCTTTACCCTAACCGCTTGAAGTGGTATAAATGTCTGAGGAGGAAGTCTTTGTTCTTTCAAATACTGTACACAAGAAAACAGGAGCTCATCAATGATACATGAAGAAATTTTTAGACACCATATACATTTTTCAGATATACAACCTAACCAGGCTAGAGAGCATAGGCACTGGTCTCATGTGATTGTACCACATCGATAAGCAAGAGCAATGAAAAAGTAAGCCAAAAATGACAAAATAGCCAGCAGCAAGTTTCTCCATCGATCCACCTCATACCCAGCTAAATTACTCTAACCATAATGACCTGAAGATAAGGGTTTAGTTTAATATCATTAAAATAATTCTGCTTTTCTATCTATCCACCCAAATCAATACCCTTCATCTATATTCTACAGATTTGTAATATGCACAAAAGCAAAAAGGAAGCAGATACAAGTTTTCGTTTCCTCCAAAAATACGCTTAAAGTTTTGTTTGACAAAATGATAAAGAACTGTCAGTGAAGCATCTTATTTTCCCTTGTACTACAGCGCTGCATCAGCAGAAAATACACCATGCTAAAAAATGGGGCGAACTCTTGAGTCACTGCAGTTGTTGCTTTAATTTCTCAGGCCCATGGCGCAGCAGCTACTAGCAAACCCCACTTTCACTTAGGGAAGGTCTGATTAGTGACAATAGGTGCCAAGATTGCTTTACTGAAACATGTGACTTGGTAACTGATGCAACCATAATAGAGCTTTTAGACAATTGATTGCCTGTCAAGAATTTCATCCTTAGATGCAATGTCCTTTTAAGGACATACAATAGCATGACAAGATATCCATTCTTTTCATAATGTATATAGCTTTTCACGATGGTTGGAGATGGTGTAGGTTCTGTTGGTTTTGGTTTTTGATAATGAGACTGACTTTCCACATGCTGCGGACAAATTAGTCTACCGCGTGAAAACCAGGCATCCATCTCCTCCAATGCTAGGGAGCATGAAACGCAGCCTCTACAGTCTTCAGAAGACATTCACTATGGCTCGTGAGAGGTTTCTTAATCCCTCACTCAGAAGCATATCCAATTCTCATCACCATAACAACCATATAAATTTGCCGTCCAAGCCAAAGAAAAAAAAGGACCAAAAGCAAAAACAAAAGGAAAGTGGAAAAGGTCTTGCGAAATCTCAAGCGTATTATAATTAACTGTCTCTCGAAATTTCGCCGTTGTATGATCAGAGATTTCTTTTAACATCAAAAGATGTTACAAAAACAATAGTTCAAAGTCATCTATTAAGAACTACTTTCAACTAGCAAACTCATCAACATACAAGTAGACAAGAAAAGTGCATAATGCACAAACGCAATGCCATGAATGCTGTTGTGATCATCAGCCTATCCTCTTAATTACAGTAAAGGTTGGCCGTTATATCACATTAAGGGTCAGAATGAAAGCATTATTCTGCCAGTTTTATATATGTATAATATTTAATATCATTATGCACGTATATCACTCTCCTTTGACAGGTGGAATTACATTTAAATGCTTCTTAAGTACTCAGGAAACATAATGCTTCAATCACGTTGCCGCATAAGCGCACATAAAAGTGGCTTCCAGCGACATTTCTCTATCTTCTGACTAACCCAAACAGCTTTCCACAATAATAACACAAGAAAGACTTATTACCTGCAGTCCTTCTGTCGCATTCATTCATTATGGACTTATTTCGACACAGCATAAGTAGAATGTGGTTCAGCAACTGAAATCAAATTATTCCCACATCCCATCTTCTGACTTTGCACAATTGTCTATTTCCCCCCTAGATACTATGACTTATCAATGCTCCACACACGGTTGTAACGCAAAAAATCATCTTTTTCCCAAAAGATCAAGACAACTTAGTCAGGTAAAGTTACTCGGAATTTATAGGAATTCAAAGAGCGCAAAACATATCTCATCTCATTAAGCAAAAGTGGAGGTACCTTGATGCATTCCTTTCCTGTTTGCTCATCTTCAACAACAACCGCATCCATGAATTTACCCATAGCGACAGTAACAGCAAGGTTGTACTTTTTTTGTGTTGGCTTGCAAAGATCAGTCACTCGACCATGAACCCCAGGAAAGAGGCGTCTTAGAGCATCAACTGCTTGAGATAATCTAGTGTCCCTCTCGTTTTCATGTCTATCAGCCCTTGATTCACTCAATTTGTCCTCCACTTCGCTAAGTCTTGATTTAAGATTTTCATACTTACTCCTGCACAGACCACGCAACAAGTTTAAATCATACAATGCAATAGGTACACATAAAACTATTTTCATACCAGCAATTCTAACCTAACAACCTAGTTGAGCCTCTGAGGCACAGAACACATAAAAACAATTCATGGCGATCCTTGAGAAGAAGAAATATATTATGAATAACCTGGACTTGCGGGATTTATCTTGCAGAGAACGTAATTCCTTATTCAATTCTGAAAGATCATCCTTGTGCCTCGCAGATGAATCCAGAATTCTTTTTAGCCTACTTCGCATTTGTTCCTCCTGTGACTCAAGTTCATTCTCTCGATTCTGCAACTGCTGAAGATTTTCTTCTAAATTATTTTGAGCTTCCATATCAGCATGTTGTTGCCTATCCAAAACTTCTTTCTCATCTCTGAGCTTCGCTGTTCTTGTCCCAGCATCCTCCTTCCTGAAACATCAATTTCTAGTTATCAGAGACCCTTATTGCACATGTTATACGTTATTGACTTGATCAAATGCTAAAGGGTTCAGGCCATAAACTTATATTCCAGTCTATTTTCAGGAGACAAGATAATAAAAAAATGACGAGCAACAACAATTATTCTGTAAACAAATGTTTTCCAAAAAGAAACCAACGACCAAGCCAAACAAGAGCAAACAGTCAGAGGCAAATAATACGGCCATAAAAGGAGAGTGCCTCTTAAAACCATTGTGACCCAGAAAAGTACAGGGTCACATAGTAAGCAACAGCTACTTACCCAGATTACCCTTTTCTACAGGACAAATAGTCAATGGTTAGTACACTAGACCAGCTACTTTCCAAGCAAAAAAATAGACTTTTGTCCACACACTTAACCACCAAATGAATTACCCAAAAAAAAAAAAAACACCAAACGAATTACCAAAGGAAGTTGATCTTTCTTCTATCTTCCAAAGTAAAGAACAGTAGTTTGTGAGAAAGACTTGATTGAGAGCATTCCATCCATTTTGGGTCTACTCCAATATGTTCTTCTTTGTACTAATTCAGAGTTTCCTTCTTCAAGGTTTAAAAACCTGAAAGATGTTTTCAATCTACCAGCCTAATACCAGGAATCCACCATAGTTTCTTCCATCTATAAAGAAGAGGCAAGAGTTTAGAGTTGCCTCAAATTTTCTTGCCAATATGTAAACACTTCAAAAAAATATCTAGAAAGGAGTTATCAACAACAATGCCAGAGATAAATAGAAGTCCTCAAGGAAAATAGAAATATTTAGAAAAACTACGAGCAACATCCTGCAGATCCCGCAATGGAGGTTGACAATGAAAGACCAAAACCACACTTCGCTTAAAAACTCCTATTTAGTTTGTTATCCTTGTTGCAAATTATATACTTATTGACGAGAGACCACCTCAGAAAGCTGTTTCATTACAAACAAAAAGTTATCTCAATATCACTGTTTTCAACATATTCAACCAGACTTGGCTGTGACATATTATATTATTAATACCACCGTAGCAGGATTTATTGCAAGAAAGATTTCTTTAGAAATAATGAGCAGTTTAAATTATGTGATTGGAATGGAATATCAACTTTTGCAGGAAACTATACATCAAGGGAACTTCTCTTCAAAGAAGACGGGAATCATCTACTCTTGAACTTCTCAAAAATGACTCCTTTCTGGTCTTTGGCAAAGTCGGTCATAAGTTTAAGTGGGTGAAGCTTTCAACTCTGCTGAGAAAGAAATAAAGTTTGGGAGGAGGGTTTTGCCATATGTAAATGAAGAATAAAATTTGTTTTACTATCCCTATGGTAATTTCTTGAATGACTTGGAGCGAGAGAAATAGGAGCATCTTTGAGGGAAAGAAATGTTCTGTGTAAAATTAGGCATTCTTGCTTTTTTACCTCGAACTTTTGGTTTAGTCGCCACACTTCTTTAGACCTATACTTAGCTAGAGCTGCAAGAATAACTCTCTGTTTTTTTAGATAGGTGCAGCTAGAATCCCCCAAGTACTGAGTTCGAGAATGTTATATTCTCAATTCAACAACATCGAGTTCCTCCACCAGACATTGATAGAGCAGTTGCTGATGTGAGATTCCAGGAGACTCGACTTGAGCTAGGTTGGGCGCTGGGGCTCGACCAACTGTTCCTCAGATGATTCAAATCAGGTTCTTGCAGTAAGTAATTCTCTATCGCTCAGCATCTCATGGTGCATAAAAATTGCGATTACCTATTAAAGAATTCAGCATCACATTTTAAGCAAGAGTAACTTACACTCTACAATATCCCTCTAGTTCATCCTGATTGTAATCACCAATTTTCTTCCCACCATCAAGACCTTTCTCACGCAGTCCATCAAGTTTTGCAGTGAGATCCTGTATGCCCTTCTGCAGCTCCTTAATTTCATTGGCATGCTTGTTCCTTTCTTTCCTTTTCCTATCAAGATCTTTCCGGGTACTCTCAATTTTTGACCTGATACGAGACATCTCCTCCTTCAGTTTCAAAAGCTCGGGTTGCTGTCATCAGCAAACAAGAGAGAAAGTAAATACCCACACTGCACAAAAACTGATAGGGTATACCAAAAAGAGAACATCTTGGATATGTGGGGAGCAACAAGTAAGAGACAGAGAGACAATGTAATCAGTTATAATGATCGAGGAGAATGTCACAAAAGGAAGGGAAAAGAAAACTGTGCCAAAGATTGAAAAGAAGATGAATCCGATGAATAACATTAATGATGACAAATTGCCCTCACGTGATAAAAGAAATATAAACAGCACTTTTCTCATGAAACTCACAAAATTCAAACACAAGAAAAGACAAAGGAGTATACTATCTCACAGGCTCACACACTTTAAATGCAGTGAATATAGGAAGTAGAATACAACTTGCGACTCCCTCCCTCGCACATTAGATGGAGGAAGGACAAGCACAGGGGAGGGGGGAAGGGTGTTGGACCCTGGAATTACTTCTTTGTTTAATGAAAAACCAAACGGTGAGCAAAGGGAATGTCACCCTAGCTTATATAGCATTATTATAAGTAATGCAAGAGGTGAAGTAAATAGCAACTAACATAACGTTTTAATTCAAATGGTAATGGGGAGGTACCTACTAAATATTAGTTATCGCAGAATATTTCAGCAATAGACATACAAAAGCCCCTAAACTTTAATTACTTATTAAAGAAATTTCAATTCCAGTACTCATTCTTGAAGCAAAGAGATAACTGCAATTAACAGGAGCTTGTGCCCATGACACATGGCACTGTAGAATAACTTTGATAAACAGGAGCGAGAGTTCATTGCTTCTTAAGACTAAATCTGGAAGGTTGAAGAGGATAGAACACTGTGTTACCAATAAACCGGTTGTTTGCGGAGAAAAAAGCACTGAACAGGGAATCTGAGAGAGAAGTAATTGACAGGTGGAAAAGCAGCCAGAAGTTCTGGGAATAACCCGTGGTACCAATTAACCAGTTGACCGAGGAGAAAAAAGCACTAACTACAGCCTTCAATTTCGGAGAATGTGAAAAAGGAATATCTGGTGGGTGGAAGGGCAGCTAGAAGCACTATCTAATCCCCACTATAGATAAATTTGACTTCTCTATCTCCATCAGGCGATTTTTCATGTTTCTTCCAGGGCCAGTGGTCCCCCAAATGGTTCTGTCCTTGCCTGCTGCCACCCCGTACCATCAGCCTATCCAGCGTCCCATTCCATGAGAGAAAAGAGTCCCCAGAAGATAGCGAAGCAAACCAATCGAATCATTATGGAAAAAAAAGCCGAAACAATTAATATAGCACAAAGCCCCTCGGTTGTATCAACAGCCAGTACTTGAAGAATTTTATTCGCCCCACCAACACTGTGTCCAATTATTTATTTTCAACTGTCAGTGGAAAGGAATTTGCTGCCTAGAAAAAAAAACACTAAAACAAGTCACTGATTCCCCCACGTGCAAAGCTTGAGAAAAATTATTGCTCTTGGTTTTCTCCTTTTTATAACATTACAAGACAGCCTATGCAAAAACAAGTTCATGTATCCTCCAGCCATATAATAAAGGATAGACTTACTTTTCAGTAGGCAAATCCACCTACAGAACCTTTTCGTTAATATCAAACCATCTTCAGTTGGATCAGACATTTCCAGCCAAAATTACGCCTCATTGTTATTTTGTGCAATGGAACTTTCAGATGGGATCCAATGAACAACCATACAAATAAGGACCATATAAAATGTATAGAAACTCACGCTTTTGTCAAGCTTATTGCTTCTCTCAGCAATTTTTCTTTCACATTGTGCAATCTCTTTCAGATATTTGGCTTGCTCTTTCTTTTTTTTACTTGCTTCATGCTCAAAATTCTCTAGTTCGTGAATAACACCTTCACGACTTTTTCTTTCAGCTTCAAGGTCCTCATTTGTCCTAGTAACATCCTTCTCAATGTGATGCAATTGCCACAAATAGTACTCCTCCTTCAACATTTTCTGCAAGTACAAATGGGACAAGATTCGATCAAGAACCAACCCCATTGACAAGCGCGCGCAAAAGCATATGAACATCAAATAAAACTAGTTATTTCCTCTATTTTGAACTAGTTTTAGGAACAATAGTGCCCAGCAGGACCCAAACACACCAGACAATGTAAAGATTATATGAAAAAGCCAAAAGCAGAAGTTCAGGGGTTCACTTGTCAGATTTCTCAGCATCACACAAGAAATGAAGTAAGCAATTTGGCTGCAACTTAATAAACACTGATAGGATGAAGAACCCTGTAAAGCATACCAATTTATCCTGCAAACGGATATGCTTTTCAGCCTCTTCTTTCTGTTCCTTCTTCTGCTTTCTTTCCAACACCACAGTTCGTTTTTTCTGATATGCAAGAGCAGATTTTTCCTCTGCCACAGCTTTTTCGGCTTCGAGCTGCTCATAGTCTCTCTTGAGTTCTTCAGATCCAGATATCTGCTCCAACAGTCCAGTGAGCTCCTTTGGATTTTTGGATGCAATGGATTCAACATCACCCTACAAAAGGAGGGTCAGTAGACAAATGTGTCAATCTCTCATCAAAGTCAAAATTGCTTGAATCCACCGACACAAGTCCATTTACAAGTATGATAATTCAAGCTAAGGTTTGGCCTTGTTCAAAACTTACGTATGTCTCAGTCAGGCAAGTCTTCTCCTTTTGTTTTTGGCTTTTAACAAGTTGCCATGTTATCATCCTCGTGAGGTAACAACACAGATTTTTTGTATTTCTGCTTCTTTTAAGATGCATTAATCCGTTCTGATTTCGCAATAACTTTCCTGATTTCCATGATTCCATTGACCCGTAGGAAAACCTTTCTAAGACCTCCAATCCAGTTCACTAATGCCTGAGCAACCCTCCAACTTGAAAAAATATGACACAACCGGCCCATGGACGACAAAAGATAACGTTAAAAGAACAGCATCCACATCCAAGACCAACGACACAGCAATAGAACGCTTAACTACATTCGAAGAAAGAGATCATTACGAAGAAAAAAGGAAATCACCTGAAAAACCAAAAAGTTCCTCGCATTGACGAGAATCCCGAGCGACTTCAACCTAGCCTTGTACTCGTCCCACGTCACGACCTTCCCGTCGATCCGGTACTCGCTGCCCCCGGCGCTGGTGATGGCCCGCGTGAACTGGAGCTCCGACCCGTTCCCCATCAGGTAAACCAGGCGGACGAAGGCCCTCCGCCCCTTCTGCTCCTTCTCCCGGTCGTCGAACGCGTAGATGAGGTCCTTCAGCTGGGCCCCCCGGAGCTGGCCGGTGCGGACCCCGAGGACGAAGCTGATGGCGTCCATGAGGTTGGACTTGCCGGCGCCGTTGGGGCCGATGATGGCGGTGAAGTCGTAGAAGGGGCCGATCACCTGGTGGCCCTTGTAGGACTTGAAGTTCTCGAGCTCCAGGCGGTGGATTTTGCCCGGGGAGATGAGGGACGGCATGGCTAGGGTTCCGATCGAGGCCGGAGTTGGTGGGGTGGGGGGGAGGGGGGGAGAAGATTCGGGGATCGAACGAACCTCGGGCGGAGGAGCGGAGGAATTAGGGTTTCGGATGCGGGAATTGGATTGGAGTGGGAGGTGAATTCGAGTGGAGAAGAAGAAGAAGAAGATGGAGAAATGGCGGGAGTGAAGTGTTTCGCATCGTCTGTGCGAATCAGTGACAACTATAGGAGAGAGTAAGAGAGAGAGACAGACTTAAGAGCGAAGGGCACGAAGAGAGAGAGAGAGAATTAATCTTTCTAGTTAGGCTTGTTTCGTGAGGGGAAAATGACACGTCCAATTGATACTGAATTTTTAATTTATTCAATATAATCCTTAAACTTTAGCTTAATATTCAATATGATTCATGAACTCTTAATTTATTTAATGTGGTCCCTGAACTTTTAATGTATGGTTAATATCACGAAAAATCTCAAACTGATACACCTGTAACAATTTTACCCGAACTAATTTTTTGACCATCAAAAATCCCAAACTGGTACACCTGTGACAAATTTATCCGAATTATTTTTTTAACCACTAAAAATCCTAAATTGGTACACTTGTAACAATCTTACCTCAAACTAATTTTTTAACTACTAAAAACCTAAAATTGATACAATTATGATAAATTTACCCTTCATTAGTGTCCGTTAAATTGGATTAATATCACAAAATATCACAAATTGATAAACTTTTGACAAACAGAGGGGTAAAATCCCAAACTGGTACATCCATCAACTACCACGTGTCATCAAACTTAGCAATTCAACAGTAAAATTTAGCGGAAACTAATGGAGGGTAACTTTGTCACAGGTGTACTAATTGGAGATTTTGGTGGTCAAAAAATTAGTTCGGGATAAAATTATCACAGGTGTACCGGTTTGGAGTTTTTGATAGTCAACAAATTATTTCGAAATAAAATTATCACTAGTGTACTAATTTAGGATTTTTTGTGATCAAAAAAATGGTTTAGGGTAAATTTGTCACAAGTGTACCAGTTTTGGGTTTTTCATAGTATTAACCCTTTAATTTATTCAATGTAGTCATTGAACTTTAGCCTAATATTCAATACGATCCATGAACTTTTAATTTGTTCAGTGTGATCCATGGACTTTTGGTACATATTCAATTTAGTCACTGAATTATATGAAAATGTTCAATGTAGTACTTTTATTAATTTAAGATGAGACTATATTGAACATGTTGATATAGTTCATAGACTAAATTAAACGTATACTAAAATTTCAGGAACCACATTTAACAAATTAAAAGTTCATGGACCACATTGAATATTAGGTTAAAGTAATTAAAAGTTCAAATATTACCCTGCACATTAGGCCTATGTTATTTGTTCAAAGATTACACTGCACATTAGACCTAAGTTCAAGAATTATTTATGTTATTATCCATTTATTTGTCCAATGTAGTCCATGAACTTTAACCTGATATTCAATGTGCTCCATGAACTAGTCTCTGAACTATATGAAATGTCCAATATAGTCCATGAACAGTGAACTTTAATTAATTAAAGAACTACATTAAATATTTTCATATAATTTAGAGACTAAAATAAACATATACCAAAAGTTCATGGGATCATATTAAACAAATTAAAAGTTGATGGATCATATTGCACATTGGGTTAAAGTTCAAGGATCACCTTGAATAAATTAAAAATTCATGGACCACATTACACATTGGGTCAAAGTTCAGGTATTGTCTGTGTCATTTTCCCCATACTCATACACGTGCATGTAAATTACATTGTGACCTGAGATAAACTATATATGAATAAAATCGTAATTTATGTTCATCAAGAATTTCAGAAAAGTAATCGATGAATCTTTTACCTTCTGAATTTAAATTAAAAGCAATATTCAGATATTCATAAATCAGTCATATATTCTCTGCTAATGTACCTTTTTTTAATTGTTTCCATTCATGCTAAAACAATATGAATTTTTTATAGTCCACTGGCAAATGTACATACGGGTTACGAGTATGAAAAACATTGACATTTAAACAAATATTACAAAATTGAATTATTACAATATATGTGCATTATTAATTGATGAGAAGAACTTGTCAACACAAATGTGGAGAAATTGCACAAAGATATATGGAAAGAGAAAAATGTTTTAAGATTTGAATTTTTTTGTAAAAAAATTTGTAAGAAAGAAAATATTCGAAATTGAAATAAATGAGAAATGAAAGTATAATTATTAATTTATGCATTTATCCATCTTTAGAATATTTATAAAATAACTAATTGATGATATTTTGGGAAAGTAAAAAAAGATTGTGATCCCTTAAAAGCACGAGACTTTGCTTATAATAGGATAAATATCTATTACATATCTACTTCTCTATAGATTTCTATATCCAATATTGAAATAATTTCAGAGATTTTGTCTGATTTTGTCTATGTCAACAAACAATTCGAAATGCCTCGACTTTTTTAGCATAGGTCCGAGTCAAACAGAAAATAACTATTGGGGTAAGTATTATATAAATTAAATGGGCCAAGCAAGAATTTTAGCAAAGGAACTGGAGTTACGTCTCTTTTCATTTCCACTCGAGAGTTCTTATGTGTTGTCGCGCATTTTTGGGATGTCAAAATATGGACAAATTCGTTTTCTTTTCTTAAGAACACATACAATATTCGTCACCACAAAAAGGATACCCATATTAACTAGAAAATAGAAATTGATTAGATTGTATTGTATACTTAATACACATTAATCATTCATAAATAGCTATAACGATTACTTAACCGTGTTCAACGATTCAACTTGTCAAAAAATTTGACGTGTCATTGTTTTAATAATTGATTTGACAATATGACTTGTTGGAGTTACTTGGATGGTTCCGAAAAGTTTTGATATTAAAGTGGTCGTCTATAAAATTTCGGCACTAAAATGATCGTTCGTAGAGTTCTGTCGTCAACTAAAATCATGCTATGCACTAGTTAAATTCTAGATAATGTGGTGCTTCTCTTTGGACAGACCAAATAACGCGAATGATCAAAGAGAAGCAGTCCACAAATTGAGAAACTGGGGTTAGTAAATTGGTTCCCAAGCATGGATCTGTGCAGATGATGGACGAGAAGCAGTCCAATCTCATTAGGGCTTCAAGCTCTTTTGTTCCATCTCACAGCAGGTGCGTTTGGTTCAACTTTGAAAATGCTATTTAGGGGAATGCAAATACCTTTAGTGTCACGCCCCGCACCCTACGAGCGCGCGATCATCCCGCGATGGTCGATCATTGAATGCGACGTCCCAGACACGTCGCCGACCCAACTCAAACATCAGAGATAAAGGCAAGCGGAAGCGAATTTAAAACAACCCAGACAATAAAATATGACAAAGGGATAGCACAAAATAATAATTCCAAATACACAACATCAAAAGGGAATAGTGGTGGGGTATCCTACTTCGCTATACAAAAGAGGGGCACACAAAATATGGAGTAACTTGACCCGTCCTCCATCCCCGAGATACCCGGTGGCGTCTCCAATCAATCACGGTCGCAGATCTGAAAATGGTTATATAATAACCGTGAGAACGAGTCTCAATAAGCAACCCCCTATACCCCACATAGGCCAATGCGTACCCAGACAAGTCAGACATGCAATCTACCCCATAACATATAAAATTCACATCAATGGACTTACCTCGCCATCCAATCACATGCCCACACTGTACATTAGTCAAATCACATTAGTGTATCCAGCAGAGCTCATATTCAGATCACACAAGGAAATTTTCCATGCATCATACAATAACACTCGCGCGTGTCTCGATTATAAGGTAAAACCACTTGGGCACGTCCCATACCATGCCTAGCAAGATTCACCTCATAATCAAACACTATGCAACATGCGTGGTCCAGCCAACTTTCTCACGACCTCCCGTGTCCTTTCACACCGCCCGCGCCATCGCGCCTCGAGCCCATTCTCACGACCCGCGCTATCACGCTCGGTCGCCCTCGAGATCAAGCCGGGCTCCGTCCTCACTGGACATTTCACACTTTCCCACGACCCGCGCTCGCGCCTCAGGTCAGCCCTCAGATCAAGCCGGGCTCCGTCCCTCACTGGACATTTCACACTTTCCCACGACCCGCGCTACTGCGCCTCGGGTCGCCCTCGGATCAAGCTGGCTCCGTCCCTCACCGGACATTTCACACTTTCCCACGACCCGCGCTATCTGCGCTCAGGTCGCCCCTCGAGATCAAGCCTGCTCGTCCTCACTGGACATTTCACACTTTCCCACGACCCGCGCCTATCGCCTCGGTCGCCCTCGAGATCAAGCCGGGCTTTTCTCATGCACATGCACCACAATACAAAATTCACCATGCTCTTAGTCATATAAATCAATTTTCAATCACCACCCTTTCGCCAATGTCAATCTAGCACGCCACATCAGTCAACTCAATTCATGCTCCCCACATCGGTCCACCGACCCGACATTCATGTCGGCACATTCAATTAATTCAATTCACCCACAAGCGCCACGACAATTCAGTCAGGCATATTTATCTCAGTAAATCACTAAATCAGCCGCACAATTATCGCCACAATAATTCATCAATTAAGCACAATCAGTCTAATTAGCCTACACCTAATTAAAGTCCTAAGCCGGTACTAAATTTCACCCTAAACAAGTCTAAAAATACCCAAAGTACTAGGTAGGGTTTAGGAAGTCACTTACTTGGTTTTGGCCCGGAGAAAATCGGCTTGGGCCTAAAATGGCCCGGGTGAACAGTGCCGAACTAGGCGCGGGCACGGCCAACGGGCGCGGTGGCCGGCCAACGCGGCACAATGGCCGGACGGCAGCGCCTCGGGCGCGCGGGCGCGGTGGCCGAACGGCATGCCCGGCGCACGGCAAGCCGAACGGGCGAGGTGCCTGGGCCGAACGGGCAAGGCGCCGGGCCACGGCCGGCGACGCGCCCGGGTCGGACGGGCACTGGCGCCGGGCAAGCTTGGCCACGGCCCGAGCTGGCCGGGGCGGCTTGGCTACGGCACTGGGCGCTTGGCTACGGCTTGGCCGGCAGGGGCCGGGCCGGCTAGCTGGTTGGGCGGCGACCGGCGGCGGCGCGATACGGCGACGGCGACGGCGGCGCGGTGGTGGCGAGCGGCAACACGACGAGCTGCGGGAGGGTGGAGGTCGGCGGGGTGGAGGCGAGAGAGAGAGAGAGAAGAAGA